CTGAATTGTGCTATCCCTATGCACAACTTAAAAATATCAAGGTGGTCCGAGGTCTAGGTATCTGGGATGCAGCTCACTGCTGTATGGGAATTTGTTATCTGGCCTAATATAATTGCATTATACTAAATACATAAGCTTAGCTTTGGGGAAGGACCTAACAAATTTACACACACAGCTTTTTTTTTTTTTTTAACCAAAGAAGGGAAGTGACTATGAATATGCAGCATTTTGAAATACTACTTGCAAAGTTACATGAACTAAGTTTTTGAAAGGGATAGGGGGATGAATGGCATAGAAATGGAATAAAATGTACATTATTAAGACGACCAGAAACCTCCTGTGTGTCTTACCTGTTGAAATGATAGAAGAAACATATTGATTTAACCTGCTTTCAGGTAAATAAAATTTGGAAAAGCTTCTCAAAAAAGATCAGAGGAATCTTTCAATATGTAGAAAGCTTAAGCACAATGACAGGGGTTATTCCTTTGGTTATAGCTTATTCTTCATAGCACATAAACTAAATGTTCAGCCTGTTCATTATAGTTTTAATTCAATCGTCACATCGCTTTAACTATTTTATTTATGTGCATTCTTCTAGTCCAAGAGTTTGTCACTGTGTTCATCTCATTAAATATGGGTACTCACTCAGTAAATATGTGTACTTCCACTCAGTAAATATGGGTACTTTCAAAAATGATGCCTCGGTTTAGTAACAGATGCTTCTTAAAATATTTAGAATTTTAAAGTGTAAAGAAGCCGTCAGTAGCATTCTGATTTGTGTATAAATATTTATTTAGCACACGTTCTGGCCAATGTACTGCCCTTGATTTTTGTGCAAAACTTACAGTAACTTCCATGGAAATTCTGAGCTCATGACTAGAGAAAAAATATGGTTAATTCAGCAACCCAGCTGCTTTTATATCCCAGAATAGCAAGCAGTGCCTCTAGTGAAGGAGGTGGGGAAATACGAGAGTTTATGTCATTCTTAGCTTTTTGTTGCTGGGCACACATTTGAGTAACAGCTCAAGTTAGAGCAGACTCTGGACTATTTTGATTCTCTTCAGAGACTTTTAGCTAGGTTCCTACCAACTAGAGCAGAACATTAGTATGAAGGCAAGAAACCAATGGCCAGTAAAGCTCTAGAAATATTCGCTAGAAATCCTGTGAGAAGCTGTTATCTGATAAAATTTCTACGAGGAAAAAAAATTAATGTGAGATTAATCTATTTGACGGAAAAACATGAGGCCTTTGTCACTGAAATTAAATTCTAAGGCAAATAATTTCCTTTCTGCTAGTGCTAGTATGAGAAATGCTATAGAAAATTGAGTCTATTTGCAGCATCATTGTAAAAGTAGATTCTCGATCACATATCCCTTCTCACGATATAGAAAAAAAATACAGATTGCAGACAAAACTGAAGCATATCTAAAATGCATAAAACCTAATCAAGACCAAATAATTCTAAGATGCTGAGAGCTAGCTGCAGTCTCCTAAATCTTCCATCCTTGCCTTTCTGAATGTTTTCTAGGCTTTTGGTAGACACTTCCATTAGCATGCCAGGATTTTAAGAGAGGATAAAGTGATAATAAAACAGAATACCTACTGAAAACAGCAAAATTCACACAGGTGTAATACTGGAAAATAACTTATTCACTTTAATAATTTCTTTTACTGAAAAAAAAAGCTTCTACTTTGATAGAGATTAAAATATTACACAACAAATAATTTTAGCTTATTGGCAAATGGACATTTTTCCTCTGCTGATTCATCAGACACACTATTTGAAGCCTGAGGGAATTCTTAAGAAGCTATTCTCACTACCCAAGTACCTGCTATTATTAAGACCCAGAGTATAAAATACAAGATAAAGTGCACTATGGCAAACCAAATTGCCAAAATAATAATCCAAGGTTGCTCTCAATGTCTTGAAAGAATCTGTCCTGGGTTGCAGTGTATTCTATTACCATCCTCATGAGCTGTCGAAATCAGGTGGGGCAGCGTTTCCTTGCTTCCCCCCCCCGACCCCCC